TTGTCTAACATAGAAAGGTCTAAATGAACATACATATAGATTAAAATGTTGAAACATTGGTTGATTTAAGCTGTCACAAAAATGAACAGTGATTAAGGTAGGATCAAGTTGAACAAGTTCAGAGATGTAGGACGTGTAATGTCAATGCCAGGTGGGCTTAACAAAAGATCCTAGAGAGATTTTTCAACATAATTGTGCAAATTTTTATTTTCTTTGAAATTGGTTCCAAAATCAAATACAAACATCTTTGGATCATTGTGCACACATCTAAGGACAAAGGAAAACAACATTATAATACAAAGAATCTTGTGAATCCTGTTATTCTTAATCCAAGAAATTAAACAAATTATAATTGTCAAAGTCCATAAAGGCTGCCTGTTAGCCAGTATTTACAAAAAAGTACATTCCAAACCAAAATAATGTTTAAATCAGTCTCAAAATACACAATGCACAACCAGGGACAAAACATCTGGAATGTAAGAACTTTCAATCACCTCGGAACTTCTCAAGAAGTTGCAACAATTTAAAACTGCTGAAGTCCATGTTTACATGCTTTATATGTCATCATTCTACTATCTATAGTAATTAATGCATTCACAAATCAGTGAAGGTACAAGTAATCAACAGTCACAACATTAACAGGAGGTTCTACACACTAGGGCAGTTTACAGAAATCCCTATCATGGATTTCAAGATAAGGATGATATAACAACAAAACAGAAACAGTTGAATGTAGAACAGGCTGCATTGCCTCAATCATGGACTTCTCACATGGTTTTTTGCACTGTTAGGACTTACCACAAGAAAAGATAGAAAAAACATTTTAAACTTTTATCTAAATTTTAACAATATATATCATACCAGAAGGCAACATGATGTCTAAAGTATCTTAGGAGAGACATGTTATGAACGTTTCCAGCTATATTAGAATTAAACACAGTCATTGTTATGTTTTCGGTAGTTTGTTAAACATCACAGAAGTGATGGCAGACATCTACAAGTCCATGCCGGAGCCAATACTTAAACCTCATTGAAATGTCAAATATTTACAATGTTGTTGTGATGGCATTTATGTAATTATATTTGAACCACTTCTACACCAATTCCACAAAATTTCTAGGTCACCATTATGGTAGAAATACACATGATGAATGAATACATTTTTTCTACGGAGGAGATGTGGACAAACATTCTGGTTTGTATTGTAAAATATGTCAAATCCACTTTTGATGCAAAGCTTTTAAGTAAGATATTTTGCTCCAGTTTGTTTAAAAAAAAAATTGAAGCATGCAAGCCATACAGGAGCCAGCATTATTTTGACACTTGTGTGCAGCAGGGTCGTCTGCTTGAATTTAGATTACCACCACTTTGTTTGCGAGCTTTTCTTATCAGAGGTAGAAAAGTACCCACATCCAATGCATAATGAGAGGAGAAGTTGGCCGCTTTGTGGAATGAGAACCGAAATTAAAATAATGCTTGAGCTCAGTTCCTGTTCTAGAGATGGTCAAGTTCGTCTACTTAGGTATCGCAGGTTGATATATGACAGTAAAAAGTTACGGAGAAGAAAAGTATAAACGGAGAAGTCCAGTGAAAACTTATCAGGTTTCATTAAAGGGTGGATGTAAAGTTTACCGCCTCCAAATGAGAGCATTTAATACTTTAAATATGAAGAAATTCTCACGCAAATTGTAAAGAAGCAGATGTACGTTGAAATAATTTCATTTTTTCGGGTAGCCTCCCCTTGTCCATCATTTCGTGAAAACTCGAGTTTCTTACACCATGGGAAGTACAGGTCAAGAAACATAGTTATATCATTGTACTGGAAAAAGTCCAAAACACTCACAGACAGAAAACATTGTTTTTACTGATTATACACTGTCACTTTTATTAATTCGTTTTTATTCCTTATAACGTTATCAACCATATGACAGCATGAAATATAACATGATATAATGTTAAAACACACTTACTCACATCAGGGGAAAAAGAAAAGTCAGGTCGACTTGTTAGAGTCTTCCGTATAAATACTTGTTCCCAGCGTATAAAAGATTGATTCAAAATTGTGAGGAGAGATCTCCAGACAAATATTTACGAACAGATGGACAGACAAACAATGCCATATCATTATACAATGTATAAAAACTGTCAGGTTGATGATAGGAAAGGTCTAAAGACTAGTTATCTACAACTAATGGATCCTTTCAGTGGGAGCTGGATCCATGACCTTAGGTACAAGGTCACTAAACTTTATCAAGCCTTACCTTTTGAACTACCAGCCAAGTATCATGATTCTGCATTAATCAGAAAAATTCAGTTGATTGAGTGTTTGTAAAAAGTAAAACCCATGTGGCCTTGAATATGGTTGAGGTAATTTTTCTCCCAAACTTTGTTTGGCTTTTTGTTAGGCTGTATTCTTCGAGCTTGCCAGTTAAATATTGTAATTCTAGCTGTTTTGGTTAATCATCAGAAATTATTTAAAGGTTTTGACATTTTTAAACCTTGCGACCCTGAATATGGGTCAAGGTCATTTCTTTTCACAACCTTTGTCAGGCTTCATTACCTACCAGCCAAATGCAAGCAACAGTGGAGGAAAGGATGATACATCACACTGCATATGGCCTTATGGTAAGGTGATATAAAAAGCAAATACAAAAATTTGGATGAAAACAGCAGATACTATTAGGCTAAAATTGGTCAAAGGATTGAAGATTGAAAGACAGATGGTTGAACAGATATTAAGATTTAATTGTTGTTATTTAGGGTGGGGTGGGGGGATGGGAAGAGGGACAATACAGTGAGGTACATAAAGAGAGGAGTATAGAATGGAACTGGAATATACTATCATAGGGGCCACTCCTTAGAGGTATAAATAGACAAATCTCAAGTGTTGTTAGAGTGAGGATGCTGACAAATAGAATGTGTTTAAAAGTTCTGATGATCTATAGCCCATAGCTATACTGCTGGTTCCTATCAAAGTGTTGTGGTTTTCAGCAGGAAACACCACCAACTACACTGCTACTTCAAAACACTGGAAACGACCTGAGGGCATGCAGTCATTTTATTTAAGGGCAGGTGGCAAAGATAAAATTGGAATTAATCCATTTCTTGAGTTATGTACAAGTAGTCCAACACGATTATATTTAGACCACAAGCTGGAGCCACTCATATCTACTGTAGGGGTTACTTCCCTTCTCACCTCAACACAAAGTTAAGATATCTGCTGTCTTTACATTGCTGTTTAAAGCATCCAATTATATGAATCATGTGAAAAACAGAAATTACATTTCGACTGAGGAGCTTTGATAGCAAGATACATAGTGCAGTTTCCTGTCCAAAAACAAGACACTCTATAGTTAGTGACATATATTCTATACATTTGACAATGTTACTGAATGAATGAATTCTTCAGAATTAATTAATGATATATTTCCTAAGCTAAATAATTACGAAAAAAAACCCAAGTTTGGATCATGCATGTTAAAACAATTTTCATAAGATTTCAATAAGAGTTCCAGAAAAATATATATATGTTTAATCATTTCAATACTATGTATTTATCACTGAAGTTAGATCTATATACTTCGGATTTATTTTCCAACTCACTCAAATATAAAAAGAAAGAGAAAAACAATCATTGGGAGTTCCCTTATATCCTAAGTGTTGGTAATTTTGACGGTAGTACTACCTCATGAGTTAATGATGTTACAATGTGTCACTGACTGTCAGAATCAAAATCATTTTTTGATATTGTAGATTATGTTTACACTATATAAAGTATGGCTGATTGTGCAAACTAAGATCCTGACTTAAACAGCTCTTGACAGTACATACGTCATGTTGACCATTATCTCAGATCAATTCTAATACTAAGGCCAACTCCAGGTCACTATATAGACATGTTCTATAGTATAGAATGTTTTCTGAAAGGTCCAACATAGGCAAAAGACAAAGGCATTTCAAGCTATTCAGTTGGTGCCAGATTTGGTTACAGTTTAACAGAAGTATGAAATCTACAGTAACATACAACATATCAACAACATGAATATCCTTTTAATATCATCATCATAAATGTCCTTTTAATATCAACATCATAAATATCCTTTTAATATCAACATCATAAATGACCTTTTAATATCAACATCATAAATATCCTTTTAACAATCACCATGAATAAGTGACATCAGAACACATTCCAAGTTTATAATGGGTTAAATTGGTACCTTGACAAAAACTTCTATGATATATCAATGTCATTAGAGAAATCCAGCAATAGTATTAATTGACCAATTAAGATTTAAAATCTGAATAATTCTAAAACCTGTTTGCTCGATTTATACCCAGTGAATATTCAGGCAAGATTTCTTGGTCAGTAACTGATGGTTGTACCTCACTGAACATCTTGAGAGAGGCCCATCATATGCTAACCAGAGCAACTGGCATAATGTGTCTTGTATGAGGGCAAAACATTCTAAAGGACCTAATTAATTCTTAATATCATTGCAGATGTGATCTGTAGACAGGGTTTAAGTAACCATAGGTGATATGTAGACAGGGTTTAAGTGAACTGAGGTGATCTGTAGACAGGGTTTAAGTGAACTGAGGTGATCTGTAGACAGGGTTTAAGTGAACTGAGGTGATCTGTAGACAGGGTTTAAGTGATCTGTAGAAAGGGTTTAAGTGAACTGAGGTGATCTGTAGACAGGGTTTAAGTGAACTGAGGTGATCTGTAGACAGGGTTTAAGTGAACTGAGGTGATCTGTAGACAGGGTTTAAGTGAACTGAGGTGATCTGTAGACAGGGTTTAAGTGATCTGTAGACAGGGTTTAAGTGAACTGAGGTGATCTGTAGACAGGGTTTAAGTGTTCTGTAGACAGGGTTTAAGTGAACTGAGGTGATCTGTAGACAGGGTTTAAGTGATCTGTAGAAAGGATTTAAGAGAATTTGATGTCTTTACATGTACAAATTGTTACAATTATAACAAGTAAATGACTTACTGTACAAACCACCTCCAATGGCTCCAATGATATAGATGAGTTCACAAGTGTATTCTTTTATCAGTTTCCATGGCTCTTTTTCCTAATTTCTAAAACCATCTCTGAAACAGGAACGAGAAATTGAATACTATATTTGAACATGAATGATTATCTAATGCCTCATGTTAAAAAAAAAATAAAAACTGCAGTAACAGGAGCATGCTTGAAAGTAATATTGAAAACAATTTACATTATTGATCTCTTTAATTCCACCAAATCCTTTGAGCTTCTGACTTGAATGTATTTGAGTGAGATCAGGTAGAGTATTGTTTGTCAGCTGTTAATTGTTATTAAAATCATCAGTCTTTCTGGCAGCATATAAAAATTCTCCACTCTCTCCTTTTAAATACCTAATTCTCAGATGACTTTAATATCTGAAATTGATTTTGCTTTTAACAGAAACATCAGTGTACATATGATATTTATCTTTCCAATTCAAATTAAATTTGAAATTCAAGATTACATTTTTAGTGTTTCAATTAAAATCTTGAACATTTATTTTCGAGTTGAATCTGACAAGAGAAGTTGTTAGGCAGGGTTTTCTTGTCAATAGCTCCACTGATGCACTGTTGACTCACTTCTATAAGGCATTCACTGACGTCAATTATGTCCTTGTGTTAATTTGTTTGAACGAATTCACTTGGAGAAGCATTTTAAAAATTACTGTTTTCAAATGTGTGTTCATCAGATCATATACGATTTTTGCCAATAAGATTTTATTTAAATGCTTTATGTAAACCATTTTAATAGAAAATGTTTGATTTTACCTGAATTAAAATCTAGTCACTATTAATGTTTACTGAAAACTGTTTAAATACCTTTTCACACTAGCCTTTTGTCCTCATTCAGTGCAGTTGTACTTTCTTTCGCAAATGATATTAACTGTTAAACATGAACCTCACATTTCAATAATGAATGTAACCTTATAACACTTTTTAAACAGGCACTATAACAACTGACAATGGTATTTATAGTACATCACAGACAACTACAGGACATCACAGACAACTACAGGACATCACAGACTTCTAAAGGACATCAGACATCTACAGGACATCACAGACATCTACAGGACATCACAGACATCTTAAGGACATCACAGACATCTACAGAACATCATAGACATCTGCAGAACAACAAAGACATCTTCAGGACATTACAGACATCTACATGACATCACATACATCTACATGACATCATAGACATCTACAGGACATCAAATATCTACAGGAAATCACAGACATCTACAGGACATCAGACATCTTCAGGAAATCACAGACATCTACTGGACATCAGACATCTTCAGGAAATCACAGACATCTACAGAACATCAGACTTCTTCAGAACATCACAGACATCTACTGAACATCAGACATTTACTGAACATTGGACACCTACAGGACATCAGACATCTACAGAACATCACAGACATCTTCAGTATATCAGATATCTTCAGTACATCTCAGACATCCACAAAGTGACAGACATCTACAGATATCTACAACTGAACATTTATTAAGAAATCAATCTCTGATAATGAAGTAAAATGGTCCGACCCTAATATGTTTTTATATGATTGTACTGGTGATTGTGAAATTTCTTGCTTTTCAAAACTGTTGATTTATACAGGTTTTTGTTCTACAATAAATTTCAGATTTTTAACCAATGCCAGTGAAGTAAGCCAGGTATTCTATCATTTAATTGTAATTTATAGGTTTTAAACATCAAAGTGGAGAGTAATGTGGAGGATAAAACGCTGCCATTCACTATGTTAGTGTGACGCTAGTTTATGTCCTATTACGAGATGACATACCCTTGACAAATCACCTTGATAAGGATATATATCACTCCAGCATGGGGTGTATTATGTACCAGGTATGAAGAAACATTTCCTCCACACAGGTAATATCTATATACCTGTAGCGGGTGATTACAGGTGTAACAAGAACAGGTAGCAATATACACTTTCCACTGTTATAGGCCAAAGTACAGAATCCAATTCATGAACTTTGTCAGTCAAATTAAAATGGATACTTATCACTTCTATAATATCTTGGATACCACTCACCAATTGATAAAGACTTTTGTGTCTCTCCTATTCTGGCCCTATGAGGAATGGGGCCCTATCTGCCCTACACTAGATTTATTACATTGTCTGGATCGGGACAATGATATACCATATTGTTGTTAAGAATAACTTTTATAAAACTAATTCCAATATACACATATATTCTATAAAGAGAGGTACACTTTCCTTTAGATTTACTGTTGCAATAGTGTAGAAGTCAGGGTCTGTGACGAGTTTGAGAGGCCAGGTCTGCTATGTGTTAAAGTGTTTTTGAGTTACTCTACACTAGAAATTCTTTGTAGCCATGCTAATTATCAATAAACTTGCCAGTGCTGTCTAACAAAAACTAATAAATATAGAAATTCTAGGCCTGTATTGATACTTAATCCATTACATTTTCCTTTTAATTCAATCTTAGAATAATCCATTACTAAAGTGTACCCAGTCTGTTTGAACAGCATTATTTATGGTTGTAAATGTGCAAATCAGCTTGTCTCCTTAACAAAGGAATTATGGGTCAAGAGACCTCTTCATTCAAATTACAACATTCTAAAATATTATAAATTTTACATCAAGTCACTAATTCACCAAACCTCATATCACTGATTGTGAAAACTGCTTTGCAGTCATGAAATTTGCCTTAAGAACAACTCAAATCATCACCCCATGAAATTGAAAAAAAAACCCGCAAGATTCAATGCTTAAACAATATGATAGGGGTGAAGGTCAAGGAAAGGTCAAAGACCTTCAGAAATGAAGAAAATATGGTGAAGGTCAGTGAACAGGTTAGATGTTAATAAATAAACAGAAATAAAAAGAGAGAGGTGAAGGTCAATGCAAGTTGAGAGGTCAAAGTCTTACAGAAACATACCAGGTAAAGGTCAGAGAAAGGTTAGACTTGGAGCTGCATGTATGTATGAGCCTTGTTGGACCTGCCAGTGTATGAGTCCTTCAGGACTGCCTGTAAATAAGCCTTATGGGGGCTCCCTGTAGTACACTTGTTTTGGACCTCTGTCAGTTTATGAGCCCTGAAAAGGGGCATCCTGTATATATATGTTATTCTTTTAGGGGATGTAAGTTGGTATGAGCCCAGTGGACTCCACCAGTGGGGCCAAGCAGCGATTAAGCCCTTTGGGGTTGCCTGTATGTGAGCCCTTAAGGTGCTGTGTGTATTACACTGTAGGTCCTCTCAGTGTATGTAACCTTGGAGTTGCCTATTTAACACTTTTTTGTACAGCAAGAATGTACCCCCTATGGAATGCCTGTACATGTTTGTGAGCCCTGTAAGGGCTACTTACATTACAGTCTGCTGGTCCTGCCGGTGTGTACACCCTGTGAATTTCCTGTATTTGAGCCCTGTGTTGCTTGCAAGCGTAGTACACCATAACATGGCAGCATGGTGTTGTGTAAAGTGTGATGATGGCTCCAGCATGTTCTCTGTACCTACAGACTGTAAAATGCCAATGCTTTATGTCAATTACAAAGGAACAGCTCCCTCAGACACACATATCTACCATAAGTCATCTCTCAAATCAATAACGCAAACCTACATCTTGCTTTCATAAATATTTTAGCACTTTTCTATGGCATTTTTATCACATTCTCAACAAATGTAACTTTAAGTAAGAGTATTGTCCCCTGCCATACAGATTCAATAATCGGTGCTGATTGAAGCAGACAAATTTCAGGCTACAGCCACAAGGCATGTCTGTGTAACATTTCAACCATTGTTTGATAGCTTCAATGCAATGCTTTCTGGACAAGTGATTCCAAAATCAATTCAAATGACAATTTGACCCAATAAGGATGGGACAATTCTATTTCATCTAAAAATGAAAATAAGGTTTTTCATGTCATTTAAATTTGAATTTCTTTGTTAAGTTAGCAACAGAAACAACCCCCACCACCCTCTCAAAAAAAAAAAAAAAAAAAATTAGAGTGTCTTTAATTGATTCAATTAGGAGCAATTGGAATATTTAGAATAAGATCAATATTCATGAATATTTTCGTTAATTACTATTTTCTAGTGATTCTATTACTGGAATGTCAGTTTTGTCACATCATTGAACAGAACTGTTTTACCTCCATTTTTGTACTATAAACCACTGGAGCAGTCTATAAACTTGTAAATTGTTGTACCAACATGTGCTGGGTGCTAATCTGTACCTTGGTATATTGATAATTAATGCATTGAAGATCTGTTTATTTCTTTTATCTATTGTATATCATATAATTGTATTTAGGAATTGTATACCACTTTATAGAAAAAATGCAGTCCCAGGTACATTGACAACTTAATCACTAAATACATGACCATACCATTAATTTCATCAATGTCAACTCTCTATAGATAAGGCAAAAATAAGGCAATGGCTTAACTTTTAAGTTAAAGCTGAAGCATATCTTGTTATGCTGTAAGGAAGGACTGAACATTGGGTAAAGGCAAATATTTTCATGAGAGGTTGAAAATAACCCTGAGTGAATGTTTCCCTGGGTATAGTATTCTGGTGCCACCAGTATTGGTACAGGATTCCTGTTTATATAAAGAGAATTAAGAAAGTCTGTATTGGTACACAGATTCCTGTTTATATAAAGAGAATTAAGAAAGTCTGTATTGGTACAGGATTCCTGTTTATATAAAGAGAATTAAGAAAGTCTGTATTGTTACAGGATTCCTGTTTATATAAAGAGAATTAAGAAAGTCTGTATTGGTACAGGATTCCTGTTTATATAAAGAGAATTAAGAAAGTCTGTATTGTTACAGGATTCCTGTTTATATAAAGAGAATTAAGAAAGTCTGTATTGGTTACACAGATTCCTGTTTATATAAAGAGAATTAAGAAAGTCTGTATTGGTACACAGATTCCTGTTTATATAAAGAGAATTAAGAAAGTCTGTATTGGTACAGGATTCCTGTTTATATAAAGAGAATTAAGAAAGTCTGTATTGGTTACACAGATTCCTGTTTATATAAAGAGAATTAAGAAAGTCTGT